TTCTCTTTGGCCCTAAAGGATAACACATTGAACTGGAAGGTCAGTTTGAACTACAAGGTCGGCGGTTCAAACTCACTAGCCACTCCTTGGAAACCAACTCAATGACACTTAACAACATTCTTCCACAAACTCACTACAGGCAAGAAAGCTTCAAGTAAAGTATTTGCTTGAGAATTTCTTTTTTTAGAATATTTACTGGGAAAATATATACAAGAATTATTTCAAAATCCTCCTGAGCTCACACTGAATATTTGTTACTATCAACCTGGAATTGTGTCAAACAGACTACATATCTAATTTCATTCAAATATCTTAAGATCCTAACGAGGCTGTTGTTGGAAATTCCTGTTGAGTTGGTTCAGACTCATAGTGACCTTATAAAGGGTTTCGCAGGAACAGCCAGTGGGTTTCACTGGTTGAACTTATGGCTTGCGGTCCAGTGCTTAGTCTATAGCACTACACCAGTTACTAGGTCACTATTCCTATTATTGGAATACTGGTGTGGCACTGTGGGTTAATGGGCCAGACTGCAAAGCCATTGGAACGGCAAGGTTGGTGGTTCAAGCTCACCAGCCGCACCTCGGAAACCCTATACAGGGTCGCTATGAGTCGGAACCGACTTGATGGCACATAACAACAACAACAACGCCTATTATTATCCCCATTATGCATATGAAGAAAATGAGGGTCACTGAGTTTATAGAGTCTTTCAAAACAGCCAGTCAGTTGCAGAACCAGGTCTGACCTGAGAGTTCTATATGTTCTTTTTTATAACCAGCCTCCATCCATTCTATTTGCATTTCTTGTCAATGACACTGCTAATTCACTGTTATTACTGCTGACATTTCTTTAATCATTAGGGAGCTACAGTTGACTTTCACCATCTTTCTCTGCTTATATACATTGTCATGGAATTCAATGATTTTCTATCAAAATGTTTTTTGGGTTCTTTGAAAGTGCTAATCAGATTGTTCTGCTGTATTTTGATGGTGCTTAATTTTCTGCATTTCCACTTCCTTCTTCTTAAATCTCGATGGTGTCTTTGATCACATCTTACTGTATCAAAGCTAGTGTTTCTTAAATGTAAGTGTGCAGAAAGATGTTTCCTTGCTGATGGTTGTTACTGTTTTCTGCCGTCAAGTCAGTCGCTGACTCATGGTGGTCCCATGCATGATGAAAACAAACACTCTTTGTGCTTCTTTTCATCATCCCCATGGTCAAGTACAGATCACGTAGCTGTGATCTATACGGTTTTCATTGGCTGATTTTCATAAGTACATTTACAGGCTTTTCTTCCTAGTCTTAGTCTTCACGCTTTAATGAAACCTGTTTAGTCTAACAGGTTTAGACTAATAACAACACACAAGTCTCTGCTGGTAGAAGGGCAATGGGTACACATGAGGTGTACTGGCCAGCAACTGAACACAGGTCTGCTTCATGGAAAGTGAGACTTCTACTACCAAATCATCAATACTCCCTTTGTACGGATACTTCCTAAAACTGTAGTTATTGCAGACCTAGTACTAGATATTTGGGTTCAGTAGACCTATTGAGTGGTGTCTACAATCCATATTTCTAGCATCATGGATCTAGCCTATCCTTCTTCTATTTAATACTAAATATTTATCCAATTCAACACTTGTTTGGTTACAGGGAAGAGAGATGCTCTCAAAGTAGTTCAAGGAAAATAAGAGTCTAAAAAAAAGAAGGACAAGATAATGTTGTGAAAAAGATTAGTCAGGACATTTGAGGATTTGATAATTGTCAGAAAACTATTCTAGTTTGCTTCTGTACAGCTCCATGGACCCCCAACTCCTCTGTTCTTTAAAACTGCTTAAGAGCATGTTACATGCCAGGATCAACTCAATGGAAAGCAATAACAACATGTCTATTCCACCTCATTTCTGCAGACTAGGTTTTTTCGAATGTCTACAACTCGAGCTTGATAGATCTGATCTAAGCCTTGCATTTAACATATTATTGGATAACACTCACTAAAACTACAATCTCTGTACTACTTCCTTCAATATCTAAAACAAGAATCTGGTTGGCTTAGCTTAATTGTCCACAGATCAGCTGCATTTTTCAAGAGGCCACTGTATGCTATCATTTGAGGGAATGTAGGCTGCTACTCATCTGTCACTTTGTTGGACTGTGGTGACTTGCATGTTGCTGATATGCTGGAAGCTATACCGCTGGTATTTTAAGTATCAGTAGGGCACACCCATGGTGGACAGGTTTCAGCTAAACTTCCATACTAATACAGATTAGGAAGAAGGACAGGCAGACTACCTCCAAATATTTAGCCACTGAAATCCTTATGAAGAGCAGTGGAATACTGTCAGATAGCACCATAGTACTGAATATTGAAACATAATGAAGAGCGCCAGAATATCGCTAGACATAGTGCCAGAAAATGAGCCCCTCAGACAGGAAGTCACTCAAACTAAGACTGGAAAAGAGCTGCCTCTTCAAAGGAGAGTTGACCATGATGAGGCAAATGAAGTAAATCTTTCTAGACTTCATTTGGTGATGGTGCACAACTCAAAATGACAAGAAACAGCTGTAAATATCCATTAATAATCATAATATGGAATGTACTAAGCATAAATCTAAGAATATTTGAAGCTGTCAGAAATGAAATAGAATACATAAAGATAGATATGCGAGGCATTAGTGAGCTGAAATGGAAAAGTACTGGCCAATTTGAATCTGACAATCACCAGATTTACTATGCTGGGAACGACAAATTTAACAGGATTGGCATCACATTCATCATCAAAGAGAACATTTCAGGATAGGTCTTGAAGTATAATGATGCTGTCTGTGATAGGATACAATCCAAGTACCTACAAATAAGACCAATTAATCCTACCATTATTCATATTTATGCTCCAACCAATAAAGTCAGTGATGGTGAAAATGAAGAATTCCACCAGCTTCTTAGGTCTTAAATTGATCAAACATGCAATTCAGATGCACTGATAATTACTGGTGATTGGAATGAAAAGGTTGGAAACAAAGAAGGATCAGTACTTGGAAAATATGAACTTGCGACAGAAACTATGCTAGAGATTGCATGATAGAATTTTGCAAGACTAATGACTTCTCCATTGCAAATACCTTTCTTAAACAACATAAAAGTTGACTGTACACATGGATCTCATCAGATGGAATACACAGAAATAAAACTGATTACATCTGTGGAATGAGGCTCTGAAAGAACTCCATATCACCAGCCAAAACAAGGCCAGGAAAGACTATGGAACAGACCATCAATTGTTCATCTGCAAGTTCAAGTTGAAGCTGAAGAAAACTGAAACAAGTCCACAAGAATAAAAATATGACTTGAACATATCCCAGTTAAATTTAGAGATCATCACAAGAACAGATTTGATGCATTAGACACTAATGAACACGACCAGAAGAGTTGTGGGATGACATTATGAACATCATACAGGAGGAAAGCAAAAGGTCATTAAGAAGACAAGAAAGAAGGAAAAGACCAAAATGGATGTCAGAAGAGACACTGAAACTTGGTCTCCAGTATAGACTGAGGAAGAAAAAGAGCTTAATGAAAATTTCAAAAGGCAGTTGGAGAAGATTAAGTATTATAATGAGATGTGCAATGGCCTACAGTAAGAAAAGCAAAATGAAGAACATGCTCAGCATTTCTCAAGCTGAAAAAACTGAAGAAAACATTCAAGCCTCAACTTAGCAACAATGAAAGATTCTGTAAGTAAAATTTTGAATAATTCAGAAAGCATGAAAAGAAGACAGAAGGAATCCATAGAATCACTGTACCAAATATAAATTGTTGATGCTCAATCATTTCAAGAGGTAGCATATGACTAGGAACCATTGTTACTGAAAGAAGAAGTCCAAGACGCACAGAAGGCATTGGCAAAGAACAAGGCTCCTGGAATTCATGGATTACAAATTGCAGTACTGGAGGGACTCACTCATTTATGCCAAGAAATTTGGAAGACAGCTCCTTGACTGACTGATTGGAAGAGATCCATATCTGTACCTACTCCAAAGAAAGATGACAGTATCATTCGTATCACATGCAGGTAAGACCTTTGCTAAAGATAATTCAAAAAATAGTTGCAACTGTACATTGACAGGGAATTGTTAGAGGTTCAAATTGGATTCATACGAGGACGTGGAACATGGGATGTCATTGCTGATGTCAGTTTCAATATGCTATGCTTAATTTAGAACACTTTCTACTCTCTCTACATTTATAAACCTTTCCTTTAAATCACTATTAAGCCTCAATATTCTTATAAACACCAGTCTGAAAGTTGGTTGTACTGTGGGGACTTGTGTGTTACAAGGCACTACATAAATGTACACTGTGACAACAGAAGCATCTAGACCATACTTAAGTTCATCATGAGTCCGAGTCAACTTGACAACAACCATAGTGATCCTTATCAAGTCTTTCAAAATGGCTAGTTCATCTTAACCACTCAAATCCTTCAGGTTGGAGTGACCTATTCTGACACTTATTACATTTGTATAACAATACACATATAATCCTTTGGTTCAAATGAGACAGTTCTTTGAAGTCAAGAAGTATGCTTCATAGAGCTTCTCTAGAACCTAAAATGCTGAAATGCAACAAGGCCACCAAAGAAGACAGTGAACAGCAGGAAAGTGAATTCCTGTTGACATCCATTTCCACTAAACTTGAACACTGCAATATGATTCCACCTTCATTTTTTTTTTAGTTAACCCATCTAAACGATTTGAACCACATGATTGCATTTCACATTCTTTTGCACTCTTCTGTGTTAATTTTGTCCTCCAAGGAAGTTATTTTCATTCAGCTTAAGTTAAATTCCATAGTCATTGATAACCAGTTGAAACAGTTTGCTGATAAACAAATTTCAACACTTATTGTAAAATGCTCTTTCAAAAGAGTTTTAAATTAAAGGGCACAGATAGCATGACAATACACAGCCACAAAAATCATTCCATTTAAAAGGCATTACCTCATAGCCAAGTAAATGTCCATTACTCAACTTCCAAGGAATAGTGTTCCATGAAACTTCGATTTCTGAGGAAGATAAACTATTTGCAGAAACTTGAGATGGAGCTACTGTAGGCTCTATTTGGAAATAGAAATCGAAATACAATTATAATTCAGGGAGTTAATTTAAAAGCCTGTTAAAATTCTCAGGTTAAAAAAAATGTAAATATTTTTCAAGTATTATATTTATTAGTAATATCTAAAAGCATGAATCATATTGTTATGGATCAAATCCCATTTCACAAAGAGATATGCTGAAGTTGTAGGCCCCTGTACTTGTGAATGCGACCTTGGTTGGGAAAACAGAGGTCTTTGAAAAGATTAGTTAAGTCATGCCATGGTAAATGGTGCCTAATCCTAACTCCTTCTGAGTGGTGTCTTATAAGAGCATAGAACAGACATGGAGGCAGGGTCACGACAGGAGGAGGACTAGTGAGGACCTGTTACAAGCCATCTGTCTACATTCACAGATACCAGAATCTGAAAGAGACAGGGTGTATGCTCCCCTAGAGTGGAAAGAGAAAAAGCATACTACCACTAATAGTCTCTGGTAGCGTAGTGGTTACGAATCGGGCTGCTAATCTCATGGTCAGCTGTTCGAAACGACTAGCTGTTCCATGGGAGAAAGATGAGGCTTTCTGCTCCAGTTAAGATTTACAGCCTCGGAAACCCTGTACAGGGTCACTATGAGTCGGAACCAACTCCACGGAACATAACAACAACAACAACAAATAATATTCTGGATTCCTGGTTAGACACAGTAGGATAAGCACTGGACTGCTAGTTTCAAGGCTGGTGATTCACAACCACCAGCATCTCCTCGGAAACAATATACAGGGTCGCAAAAAGTCAAAACTGACTCCACAGCACTTTACAACAACTAACATCATGACTACTAGGCTCCAGAACTGTGAAACAATATATTTCTGTCCTTTAAAACCAGTCCTTTCATGGTATTTTGTCATGGCAGCCCAAGGAAACTAAGATACAAGTCTCAAAAATAAAGACATTGAGCTATTTGTTAGGTAGAGAGGGCACCATAGCCATACATTCTGGACTTCCTCCTTGGCATCTTCCTTTACATCCTTTTCTTTCCCTTTGTTCTCTCTTCCTTATTCTCTCCCCTTTATCATGCAGTTCTTACTTGGAATCTCCTATGCCCATGTTGTTGTTGTTGTTGTTAAGTGCTGTTGAGTCCATTCTGACTGAAAGAGACCCTGTAGAGGGTTTCTGAGGAGCAGATGGCAGGTTAGAGCTGTCAACTTTAAGGTTCAAACTGACCGTGTGGTCCAGTGCATTACTTGGAGTACCACACCAGGATTCCTATGTTGTTAAGTGCTATAGAGTCAGTTCCAACCCTTAGAGACCCTGTACAGGGTTTCCGAGGCTATAAATCTTTATGGGAGCAGAAAGCCTCATCTTTCTCCTGTGGAACCACTGGTAGTTTCAAACTGCTGACCTTGAAGTTGGCAGCCCGACTCCTAACCACTACGCTACCAGAGCTCCCTAGAGAATTCATTTACTCACTAAGAATTTAGTGAATGCATTTTATAGCCTGAACCTAAAGGTGCAAGTTTACATAACACAGAGCAACAGGTGGGTGTCTCCATTTCTGCATGAATGGATAGATAAGCGTGTAGAGAATTATATGAGGGGCTACAAAAAGTTCATGAAAAAGTTCCTTTTTGTTTTTTAGCTTTTTATTGTGAATTGAGTGAAGGTTTACAAAACAGATCCTCAGTCTTATATGCGACAAATTACACACTTTTCTTTATTTCACTGATGACAATCTGCTCCATGTGACATCAGTTATCACATTTCTTCCCTATGACTGTTGTTTCTATTCCACCTTCTTTCCTAACCCTTTATAATCTTGTAATTTTGTCCTTAAGTAAATGCTGCCTTTGATTTTGAATGGCTGACATTCTACGGTGTGCACACCTCCCCCTTATATGCCTGGTTGAGAATTGAGTGATGAGTTCTAGACCTGAACGGTGACCTACGACCACAGTGTGCACTTCCTCCAGTCTCTTTCAGACCAGTAACCTACTTAAAAAAAAAAAAAAGTTTGAGTTTTTTTTTTACCTTTCCTCTGCTCTATCTAGAACCTTCTAACAGAACAGTTGAGCTTGGTTAAAAAAAAAAAAAAAATCCATTATCTTTTAATTCATTCTTCTACTTTTTGAAGCCCCCACCATATAGTAAGAGGATTCCTTTAGAAATAGACAATTATTAGAGCTTTCAGTGGCTCACAGTGACTCTGTCCTCTCAGCGCAGAGCTGTGGTGTAGGTCCCCATCCCCTGAGTAACCATATCTTTGGTAAATGACCCTGCTCCTGGCCATGGCTGATTAATACTGAGATAGACTCTGGGCCCAAGGATGAACCTATTAGATTTTCTCTCCTGAGAATTTGAAACTTGGTTTGGTGACCCTAGAGATCTGGGGACAATCACATTAGTGTTGACTCTGTAGTGAGGAAGACAAAGAAGTCAGTTTCTAACAGCCCAGAGTTTCTCTGATTAAGATTCTTCATAAGGTTTATTTTTTAACTCTTCCTTTATCTTGTTGAGATGCTTTAGTTTATTCACAGTAAATCACTCGTTTGTTTTTTTGTCCATCACATCTGCTTCTGATGTTAGAACAGAAAGTCCTTTAACCAGTTCACCAGTTTGGTAAAAAGGGAGATGGAAGAGCGGAAGTTAAGGGGATAAAGACTAAGACTGCAGATCTCTTCCCAACAGCCCGCACTCTAGTCCCGGGAGCATGGGGTAAGCAGTGTCTCAAAACGTTATTAAATGTTATCACATCCCAGACACTTCCATGGAAAATCCTGGAAACATTTGGAAATGAGTCATGGCTATAAATATAAAAAAATCGTTTGCAAAACTTTTTATGATAACTGTTTGTTTTCCTCTCAGAACTGAGGGAGATAAAAAGAGCAGACAACTACAGGAGGGTGGTGAGAAGTACTAAGGCTGCCCGACTTAATTATTGTCAGTAGTGAGAATTGTGGACGACCTCAAAGACCTTTTGCAATTTACTTCAATGTCTGCAGCATAGCGGGGGAAGCGAAATCATATTTCATGGGCTCAGGAATATTTAAGAATAAAAGTTTTGCATTCAGATACTTGGCCCTACCACTTACTCCATGGACTTTGGCTAGTTTATTAGCCTCTCATCTATCTTCCATTTTCCTGTGTTTAGAAGGGGGGACATAATAGAACCTAACCTCCTTTATTTTTGTTATTCTTTATGAAAAGAACTGGAGATCTCATTTGATGCGCTCTTAAAGAAATACATATGAAGCCACAAAGAACTTTCAAATCAGTTTTTGGAGGCCAACTGGTTTATGAGTTTGGAACTGATAGATCATCCTAATGTTTTCTATACCTTCTTCTGCAGAGAATACTGCTGTCACTGGGCTAAAGGGTCCTTCGCCTTTGTTATTGTAAACACCCACTTTAACTTCATAGCGGGAAAACGGTAAGATGCTTTCATTGCGAAAGACATATCTTGAGGTATCAGGGGATGTCACTACTGTCTGGATCCAGTTGGTGACTCCGTAGGGGCGGAAAGCAACGACATATCCAAAACCTTCACCATTCTGTAGCTCTTCAGGGACTGGCTATAAGGAAAGACATGTTAGATTATCCTCATGTAGGAGGACAGGCAAAAAATGAACAAAGCCTCAGTCTTCTGTAAAGCTATCACGTAACAATCTACATTACATTAAGTAAGCAGCTAAAGAAAAAAAAGATGAAAAAAGAAACATATCAGTGCAAGAGTCAGCTGCTTTGAAATACACATATTCCACTTTCACAGTCATGCAGATAATTAATTAGCACTTCCTGTGATTATTCATACACCAGTCTGAGTTCCTGACAATAAGATATAATTTCAGCTCAGTACACCTTACCTCTTACGACAAATAAAATCAATCGGTCTAATGTTGACGTTTTGGAAATAAAATCACACAAGGACATGATGATGATTAAGTATGAAGGAATAATAATAATAAAAAAGTCTGAGTCATGTCACCATTCCTACTGACATGCAGTCACAATGTCTTGATTTTTTATTCCTCCATGTCTTCAAATAACACAGACAAGCTTCACTTAAAGTGTACTCATTTAAATATATCCTAACGATGGGCCAGAAGGAACCAGAGACTGCAACACAATGGAGTGGCCTGTGTGGAGCTCTGTGGGAAGACGTGAGGGGGCGACTTGGGAGTCAGCTGGCAGCATCTGAGTCTCAGCCCTACAGCTCCCAGCCATGTGACCTTGGGCAAGATGTGCCTTCATGTTTCATCTATAGAATGTTCTAGGGATGACATGAGAACAAAGTTTGTCAAATGCTAGAAACAGTGGCTAGCACAGTGAGCCTTAACAAATGAGCAATGAGTCCTTGTAGGATGCTGTAGGAAAAGCATTTGACATGCTCATGACAAAGTCTACGGTTCTTGGAAACCCTATGAGTCAGAACTGACTCCATAGCACTTAACAACAACAATTCTGCTACCATCACCAGTACCACCAACCAACACCACACGGGCTGTGCTGACAATCCATGAGGAACAGTATTTTGAAGGGGAAGACACTGTACAAACACTTACATCCCAGGTTATCACGAGTTCAGACCGGCTTCCACCTCCTCCACTGACTTCTGAAGGGGACACTTCTGGAACTGTGTAGGTGACAGAGACAAGATGAAACTGTATTTGCATTGAGCAATATTAATCTGAGGTTAATAATATTAATCTCTCAACAGACAACTGTTCCAACAACTGGTACAACATGGCTTAACATGAGGAAAAGCGTACTCTAGGGTTGTATCCTCTCATAGTACTTACTTGATCTGCATGCTGAGCAAATTATCTGGGAAGTTGGACTCTATGAAGAAGAACGTGGCATCATTGTTGAAGGGAGACTGACTCACAGACTCGGCAACATACAGGCAACACAGACTTGCCTGCTGAATGTGAAGAGAACTTCTAGCAATATTTGGTGAAGATCAAAGACTATAGCTTTCAGTGTGGCTCACACCTCAACATTAGGAAAACAAAAATACTCCAACCGAACCAATTAGCAACACCATGATTAAGAGAGAGAAGACTGAAGCTGTCCAGGAGTTCATTGTACTTAAATCCACAATCAATATCTATGGAAAATGCAACTAAGAAATCAAATGATGTATTGCACTAGGCAAATCTGCTGCAAAAGACTTCTTTAAAGAGTAAAAAAGGAAAGGTGTCACTTTCAGGAATAAAGTATGCCTGACCCAAGTCAAGACATTTCCAATCAACTAAAATGCATGTTAACACTGGACAAAGAATAAAGAACAGTGAACAAGGATTGTTGAAGTTGAATTATGATGTAGACAGAAAATACTGAGTATTCCATGGACTTCCAGAAGAACAAAGAAATCTATCTTAGAAGATGTACAGTCACAGTACTCTAAGAAGGAAAGATGATGTCATTTTACTTCACAGACTTTGATATATATCATCAGGAGGGCCAGACGCTGGAGAAGGCCATCATGCTTGATACACTAGAGGGTCAGCTAAAAACATGAAAAGTTTTAATAGATGATTGACACAGAGGCTGTAACAATAGGTTCAAATATAATACTGATTATGAGGATGGTGTAGGACTGAGCAGTGTTTCATGCTCTTGTATTTAGAGTTGCTATGAGTCAAATGTCAGCTTGAGCAAAGGTGTCCATTTAAGGACTAAGGTGTGCTTGACTAAGTGTGATATTCTCAATAGCCTCATATGCATGTGAAAGTTGGACAATAGATAAGGAAGACCTTAGCAGAACTGATTCATTTGACTTATGGAATGAAAGGAGAATATTAAAAGTGCCATGAACAGCCATAAGAGCACACAAATATGTGTTGGAGGAAGAAGGACAGCCAGAATGCTCATTAGAAGCCAGGATGGCCAGATTGAGTCTCTCATATTTCGGGCATGTTCTGAGAAGGGACCGATCCCTGGAGAAGGATATCAATCTTGGTAAAGTGGAGGGTCAGCAAAAAAGAGGGAGACCCCCAATGAGATGGGCTGGCACAGAGACAGCAACAATGGGTTTAAACGTAGTGATGATTGGGAGATTGGTACAGGACCATGCGGTGTTTCGTTTTGCTGAGCATAAAGTTGCTGTGAGTCAGTACCAACTTGATGGCACCAAACAACAACAACAACATGAGTCAGAACCAAGCTGATGTCACTTAACAACAACAACAATATGAAATAAGGCACAAAACTGCTTATTTTTAAATACCGACTCAAAAGATATATGTGTGTATCTTTGGGGTCTTCATTAAATAATGCATACTGGCATGAAATGATGAAGATGATTTCAAATCTCTCAAACAGTGAGGAAAGATGACACAATTGGAAGATAACATTCTGAATACTATGAAGGCTAATAAGCAGGGAAAAGCCATTACTGGGGATGATGGGAAATCGATCCAACATGAATATTTACTCTGTGATTTTTCCAGGTAGAGATACAGTTCTCAGAATAGCATTGGCTTTGCATGAGAGAGATGCAGACGTAAATCCTGTTATGAGGTACACTTTATTACCCTCACACAGCCATCAGATTTCTTAGCCTCCATTGACAATTTCATGCATAGTAATCCCATGGAGTCCTCGTGTGGCACTGTAGGCTAAGCAGTAGACTAGTAACCACAGGGTCAGCAGTTCAAACCCACCATGAAATCCTATACAGGATCGCTATGAGTCGGAAGCGACCCAATGACTCCTAACAGCAACCCCCATGGCACAGTTAAAATACAAGTTCCATAAAGACCATCTTTCAATGTTTGTCATGTTCTGAGCTTTATCCACAACATCCACATAGTTAGACACACCATAAAAATGGTGTGTGAATAAATGAACAGTGTACCAAAAAAGACATGCTGCCCTAGTTCTCCTAATACCCAGAATAAACATTATGTGCATTGTCCTGGGTAAAATGGCACTCATTAAAATTATTGAACCACATTCCATGACTCCAATCTTGGCTCAGTTCCTAAAGTGATATACTGACTCTATTTCAAACATCCTTTTAGTTAATTCTAATTAGCATTATAGATTTTGAAAGAGAAAATCTCTAGGCCTCCCTCGATGTTTCAATAAAGTGACACTTTCGATTTTTAAATGTTAATGTTAGGATTATTTTTGGAATTAGAAGAGCAGTTTCATGGTTTATATTAGTAATTGTTTTGCATGGAAAATTTAAACAATGATTCCTTCTTAATTTAACACTTGGAAGCCCAAAATACACCTATTCATCAATCGTTGAAGTACATTCACTGAGCTTGGTGACAGGATGAAATTTCAAGCAGCAGAACTCCCAAATGTCATTATCCTACCAATTTGTCAATGCTTGTTATAAATGAAAACAGTACTTCCTCTGTTAGCAGGGTAACTATGTCAGATAGTAATTATAACTTTCAGTGACAAAAACATATTCACTCAACATGCACTAATGATCGTTTACGATGGTCGGGGCTTGTGGAAATGTCACACTACATCAGAATCACTTATACTTGTTGCCTTGACAAATGCCATTTTGCCAGTTCTGCCATTAGAAAGGTCAGATCATTGTTACAATGGGTTCCTGAGGGTGATCCCTTGCTGGTCTGGAAAGCAGTAGCAGTGGGGAAAACACCCTCCCGGGGGAATCTATTAACCCATTACTCAGAAAGCAAAAACACTAACCTGCCTCTTCAGTCCTTACTTTTTCTGAGGGTAAACTGGGTTCTCCACCTCCGATTTTGTTATTGGCTACAACACGAAATTCATATTCCACCCACGGGTTTAACTCGATTACAGTAGCTGTGTGTGTTTTCCCATCGATGACCTCGGGCACTATAAAGGAATATTGGAGAGAGGTAAGAGCCTGTGTATTTCAGCATTGCTTTCAAATCCATTTTATAGGTACAGATGGCATTTGCCTCCCTCTGTTTTACCTGTGGTGACGGTTTGCCAACCCACGGAGAAGGGTGTTCTAGCCTGGACTGAATAGGATATGACAGGGCTGTGATTGTCTATGCCTTCTTTCCAAGAGATTTGGGCTGTGGTATCTGTAATTTCAACAACCTTCACATTTTCTGGTGGTCCAGGTGAACCTAAAGAAGGCAAGAATGCAAAGAGTGGGTGTTATGTGTAGGAAGCAAAGATTCTGAGACTGAGACCCAATGTCTGAAACAAGTTAATGGCACACTGGGTAAAGCACTGAGCTGCTAACCACAAGATTGGTGGTTCAAACCCACCAGCACGCTGTGAGATACAGATGAGTTGGAATGGACTCAATGACAGTTGGTTTGCATTTTTTGTTTTGGTTGGTTTTGTACATCCGGGCAAAAGCCATACCAGTTGCTGACTCATGGAGACTGCATGTGTGTCAGAATACAACTGGCCACCACAGGGTTTTCAATGGCTCATTTGGTGCCAGGAGATTGACAGGTCTTTCTTCTGAGGTACCTCTAGGTGAGCTGGAACCTCCATCCTTTCGGTTAGCAGCTGAGAGCATTAACTGTTTGCATCAACTGGGACTCCATAGAGAATCGGTGCAATTTTATAAACATCATCCTCTTCTACTAAAGCGAAGAATATGTCACATAACCACTTCTACATTTCCAAAGGATCTCAATTGCAACGGTACTTAGGGAAAAGACCATTTATCTGCCAATACAACAACTCCTTTTTTTTTTTTTTTTTCTTTCAACTATTGTGCTAGAAAGATTTTAAATCTACTTGTAAGGCAGCTAGTCCCAAATTGTAATCCTCCAGGATTGTAGTGACACCCACAGTTCAAGGCTTCTGTTCATCAAGGTTTCTGGATGTTTCCAAGTTGACTGTCCTGTACTTCAGCATGAGACCTTTCCCTCTCATCCATGGGTTTATCTTGGGAGCTTCCCAGAGAGCTTCTAGTTGATTAAATTTGCCTCTGCTGTGCTGTTTGGTCTTTATTTTATAGCCCAGTCACAACTCAGTAACCTGGATAGGGTAGCTGGGTTTGGCACATTTTCTTAGGCATGCTGGATAATCCTGATTCTTTCAAAAGTATGCACAGATACACACACAGAGACAGACACATACACAAGGACACATGTAATATTCTCTTTCATATCAAACACAATTGCTGAGTTAATGAAATGCTTAAAAACACATCAACTTGGCAACAGCTCTAGAGTGCCAATTATAGTAAGAGCTACTTGAAGGACAAAGTTGAGGTCTGTGTTTCTTCGAATGAGCGCCTGATCCTCACTGTCATGCCTAGGAGGGGGAAACCACGTCAGGATTGTAACTCACATGCAGATGTGCCATCTCATCCTAGTTTCCCTCCAGTAAGCACTGCTTATCTAAGATATGAAGTGAAAAAGCATACCCAGGCATCATGGTTTACCTCTCACTATGAGGTCGGCGGCAGATGAAACACTATCCACCCCTGTGTGCACCATACAAATGTATTTTCCACTGTGCTTCAGCTGGATGTTTCTAATCATTAAATCACCAGATGAACTCTGTTAGAAAAACAGGTAATAAACACACTGTTATTGTAAAAACTCATAGGACCGTAGATTCTATGTCGAAGCACAATAGTAGGATGAGACCCATATTTAGAAAGACAATCAAGGTGATCCAAGGCTACAGCTGAACATAGGAAAAGTAAAACAAGTGAAATCCACACGTGACTGCTCTCCTACATGTCTGCAGCCAAACACACAGCAGGCCTTCCCCTGGGCCTTTCTGGTTTCAAAAATAAGTAAGGGCAGAGATTACAGTCTCACAGTCTGTTTACTTCCACTAGGGAGACACTTCCTTTTATAGCCACTGCTCAGTACCAGCTCAACTCTTTTCTTCTGGTTCCAACCCCTTTGCAATTATCTGACTGAGAAGAGGAGGGAAGCGTTAAGGTATCTGGTGAGAGATAAATGCAGCATGACAAGGGGATTATCACATTTGAAACACTTTTCTGAACACACTGGAGCTTAAGAAGCCTAAAGCTGTTTAATTCCTTAGCTCCAGAATTGAGGGGGCAGAAAGCACCCCTCCATAAGAAGAAATTACAGCATTTTAAGCCCTAAAAAAAAACAAAACAAAAAACCAAACAGTTGCCTATAAAAGACATTTGTTGGCTTCACCCACCCTTACCCCCACACCCAAACAAACTCATCAATGAAAGGAGCAAATGTATTTCTAAAAGTGCAACTTGAAATGATCCTCTTTTTAAAAAGAACATAAAGTCAGATGCATAAAATGACTAACAGCAGGCCAGTTTCACGCATTAATAAAAATATGGATTGAAATCAAATGATTTGCAAAGCAAAGCCCTTAGAAAATTATCACTCAGTGAAAAATCTCTAAACGGACACAGAGGGAAGAGCAATAAGTGTTTATCTTATTAATTAAAAAGATCGTCTTATACTCAGATGTCTCTAGTCTCCATCAAAAGATGAATTCTGTTATCTTCTTTTAGATAATTTCCTAAGAGTTTCTATACCCTGATTTCTTAAACACTGTTTCCCATCCTGAGGGTTCACACTGAGCTGTGGAGTCTCTGTTCCTTGGACTGCCTGGCTGTGGACTGAAGTTTTTTGAGTACTAAGAGAATGCAGCTGTGAAGTGATTGATGGTTGTAATTAAATGATAATTCAGAAACTGTTAAGTTTGCACATTCTACTTTCATCAAGCTGAACTTTTTTCCTTTCCTCTCCCTCCCTCTCTTCCTTCTCAGGGTTATTTCAAAATTTATTCCCAGGACAAACCTTCAATGCTTGCTGACCTTTAGAAATTCTTCAGACTTTATGAGCTCCATATACTAACAGGAGTTTGATGATCATTTCTCAAGAAATTTCTTATTTGCAGTGAAATAGGAATTGATACTATTGAATGTCATTAAGGCACTGGATGAAATGATTATTCACCTCTGCATTTATCTGGTAATTTTACAAACAGGCAAAAGGGAAGTGTAATAGAATTTCTTGTACACTTTTAATGAGTAGTCAGCTGCTGTCCAATTGTCTTTCAGAACAGACCTGTGCTCCACAGGCTTTTCAATAACAGTGATCTTAAGAAGTCGATTACCAGGCCTTTCTTCAGAGGTGCCTCTGAGTGCACTTGAACTACTAACCTTTACATTAGTAGCCAAACAATTAACCATTTACACCATCCGGGACCCCTATGTACTTGGTGTTGTTAAGTGTGATCAAGTGAGTTCCAACTTATAGTAGCCCTCCCTGTACAGGGTTTCTGGGGAGATCTGATGAGTTTGAACCACCGACCTTGCAGTTCGAACCAACCTTGCAGTACAATGCATTATCCTACAGCACTACACCAGGACTCCAATTATGTACTTGTTGTTGTTGTTGTTACGGGCCATCAAGTTGGTTCCTTCCCACAACGACCCTGTACAGGGTTTCCAAGGAGTGGCTGATGAGCTTGAATTCATCTACGAACCTATTCACATGGATATAACTTCTGGGTACACTGGCTAGTTTTCCTTCTTAGAGGACTAAGGAAGAGAATGTAGTCGGGCCTGCAATTTCCATTTGTGTTTTGTACTGGTGGGTGCTGAGAGATAGACAATATCATAAGGCACTTACTCATATTCTTCTTAGTTAATTCTGAAATTGTTACCATATAGTGAAAAAAATGAGCCAAGTAATTGAGCTAGATCATGTAAAAAACCAAACCATTTCTCCTATGGAAATGCACTCAGGATCGCCATTAGGGGAAATACAATTATTAATGATCAGTATGCTGGTGAATGGAGAAAGGAGACAATTACCTAAGACATGTACACAATGGGAAACATTGATTTTTTTTTTTTTTTCCTGCATGAGCATGAAGTTAAGAAGAACATAAAAGGTTTCAAAAAGTTCGTGTGAAACTGGAATTAAAAGATAATATAAGTGATGTATGCTCAACCTTGGAACAACAGGATTCTGTGATACAGGGATCAAGGCATAGTTTAAAAGGGTAAAAGAGGGAAAATAATGTTCAGATGCTTGACTTTCTTATGAATATTTGTTTCCCTTGCTTACTACTGTAAAACAGACACTTGAGTGGGATAGAAAGGAAAAGCAGGAAACATGATAACAGAAAGCTTGTAAACCCATCTTCGGTCTATAACTGATTGGAATACCTAAAAGGGGTTCTAGAACTTGCCCAGTGAAAAGCCTTGCAGAACCTTTGTAGTGTGGAATCCTGAGCCCCATCCATAACCTTAGAGATGGGACATTCCCACGCGGAAGGACAAGAAGACAAGCCTGGAAGAGTTGGAGCGACAGAAGATACTTCTGGAAAGAAAGGCCAGTAGGAAAAATCCAAAATAAAAATGACAGTCTGAATAACCAGGTTGTTTACCAGGGAGCCAAGGCAAGCAATCAAGTCCCTTCAGGACAAACTGCCCATTCAACACTGAAACTCAAAGGGAACACTCAAGCAGGCATGTAAGCTTGCTGGCAACCACATTGGTCAACTGGTGAGTGGAAAACGGGGAAGGGCAGCAATGAAGATATGGGTTAGTTCAAGCACATCCCATAGACTCCCATCAACCTGGAGATGAGAGAGAGAAGAGGAAGGAATGATTGGTCTGGAGTGTAGTGAGACCTGTGGACTCTTGAGCCCATGGACAAAGACAGAGGGCTAGAGCTGAGAGTGAAGCATCTAACAGATAGGAAGTGAGGGGAGATGCACAAGAACACCCAAACTTGTAAACAGAACCCACTCAATCTAGCCTCGATGGCTTCATGATCAGAATTAGACTACTGGAAGATAAAAAAACACAATTTTTGATACAGGAAATGAGTATAAATTGCCACAATTTCATGAATTTGACCCATACTTATGGATGTAATAGTTCAAAATACTAATGGAGAGGTAAGGAATCTTCACATCAAGTATCAATCCTATCCCCTTTGTACACAGGGTTGATAGGGATGGGCAACTTAGACATTGGCTACTTAAAATGGGAGGTGGAGAGGGGCTCTAAAGGCACAAAGTGACTGGCTTACACGTTTTCAAGAGAGTTTAGTTTCATAGTGTGCAGGGTAAAGTAAAATCCCCACTAAATAGTTTTCATCCTGTCATAAGATTCTTATGATGCAATAGTGATTAATTATTACCATGACTAATTGCGATTGTCACAGCTGAAAAGGTAGAAGTTTGGTAACAAAAAGGGGAGGAGTAGTTAATCTTACAGTCCAGGAACAGAGGACCCTTGGACAATGAAGGGAGATGAGTACGAGCGGAATGTCGGACCCTATCTAGAGAAGCAGCAACACGAGAGATGAGGACATGGAGAGAGAGAGAGAGCAGCTGAGGACTCCAGACTCATGGAAAGAGAAAGGCTTTGTGCTTGTGGCCAGGAGGCAGGCTTACAGAATGTGCCCTTTGGTTGTTGAAATTATTACATATTCCTGAATGTTTTTGCATATATCCTCCAAAAAAACAGAGGTAATAGAAGCAAAGACTGTTGAATGATGATGCACAGAAGGGATTGTAATTATTGCAGTGAAATGCAATACAACAGATAAAACCCATGTTCTCCCATGTAAACCATCCCTCAATTCACAATAAAAACTTAAAAAAAAAAAGACAATGCAACTTTTCCACAAACTCTTTGAATCCCACTTCCCATATAAAAGTTATGAAAAATGAAGGGTCCTCTGTTCCTGGACTGTAAGATTAACTACTCCCCCGCTTTTTGTCACAAAACTTCTACCTTTACAGTTGTGACAATCGCAATTACATTTACCTATGCTGAAGGAGCTCTGGTAGCGAGCGTAGTGGTTACGAATCGGGCTGTCAGCCTCAAGGTCAGCAGTTCGAAACTACCAGCGGTTCCGCGGGAGAAAGATGAGGCAGTCTGCTCCTGTAAAGATTTACAGCCTTGGAAACCCTGTGTAGGGTTGCTATGAGTCGGAACCAACTCCACGGCACACAACAACAACAACAACATGCTGAGTCACTATGAGTCGGAACCGACTCCATGGTGCACCACCACATCCATAAATATATTGTTGTAGTGGTTGCCGTTGAGTCGGTTCCAAGTCTGAGCAACCCTGTAAAAGGTTTCTGAGAGTGCCTGGTGGGTTTGAACCACCAACCTTTCCGTTTCCACTTCAGTGCTTAGCCTTCAACAACACACCAGGACTCTATAAATACTACAGCCTAGTAAACCTTTTGGGGCATTCTGGACCAAGCCATGGTATTTTCAATAACCTCATATGTATATGAAAGGCCTTAGAAGAATTCATGCACTTGAATTATTGATGCACTTAAGTTATGGTGTTGGAGGAGAATATTAAGAGTAATATGAAAAAAAAATTGATAAACGAAACAAGTACAAATTGTTACAATTTGATGAACTTGACCTATACTTATGGATGTAGCAGCTCAAAATACCAACTGAGAGGGAAGGAATCTTCACATCAAGTATCAATCCTATCCCCTCTGTATAAAGGGTAGATAGGGATGGACAACATAGACACTGGCTACCTAAAATGAAGGGACTATA